TCGTTCCACTTCGGCGACGAGTGGATGAATATTTGAAATGGAATTGAAGAAGCCCTTCAATCGTTCCGACCGTCTATCCAGGAGCAGCTTGATCACCAAATGAAGAACACAGCGAACACAGCAACGACAATCACGGGAAGGGCACGCGCGTCGATTGACAGGCGCGGGGGGGCAGACATTCGATTGGTGGAGGCAGCGCCGCCATCTGCGCGGTCGACGGCTGCGCCGCCCCCGCCAGCGCCGTTGCCTGAGGCGCCGTCGAGAGCGACGCCTATCCCACCTTGGCAATGCGCAGACATGGAACGCGGAAGTGGCGCCTTCCCGTCCTCCCCCGCGTTCAGAACCTACTGACCACCTGGGCTTCTTGGAGCCCGCCATCGAGCTCTGCCAGCTGGCCAAACTGGAGCGGCGGCCAGAGCTGGAACAATCCGCAATGCGATGCTCCACGCAGCAGTCAGTGGCGATACGATGAAAAAGGGCAGGGTGATAGCGTCGGGGTAGTGCCCCGACCTGGCTCTTGCGTGCTCTGGGGCAGTGCCCCAGGAGTACTGGTGCGCCGAGGCATTCAACGGGCTGGCTGCCTTATGACTTGATTGCTGAGCAGCGCGCGCTCGCGGCAATATTTCCTAAGGTGGGGTGCGCCGGGTGGCCCTCGGCTTGTCTTATTGAGCGGTGACAGGAGTATTCCCTTCCCTCCCACGTGCGCCCTTAAAACTTTTTGGGGGTCGGCGCCTTGGGGGGCCCAAAGTGGCCCTTGGGGAAGGGGTGAAGTGTGTCCTGCGCGTTCGGGACCTGCTGATTACCACTTGGCGTGTCCTGCCTGTCTTGCTCGGGACGTTAGCCGACGTGCTCACATCCGCCCGTGCGTGGCCGTGCCGCGCCGGGAGGCGGCAGGGGGAATCGCTCCTAACGCCCCCCTCGCTAGTTGAAACTGCCCTGCCCATCCCCTTCAAAATCGGGTTGGCAGGGGTAGAGACTGATGCGGTCGTGCCCGCAGCTCATATTTGCTGAGGGCACAAAGTGCGCGCGCGGCCACGCTCCCTCGGCCGGCCGGCGCATGCACATGCAGGCACACTACTTCGAGCAAATCTGCTGACCGGATATTACAGCCATGTTGTCTTCGGGTCGCTTGGGCCGGACCGCCTCCTTTGAGCATGACGAACACGTACAGGAGCAATAACCGATTAACCGAACATTGCCTCGGAATAGTCTGACGACGGATCGGAACAACAAACAAAAACACTCTCTCCTTTGTCTCCCCGGCCCCAGCTCTCCCCAGAGGCCCCTGGGGAGGTCCCGGGGGGCCGTCCCGTGGCCCGGCGGCAGGTGATGCGGGCGTGCCGCGACGTCCAGGAGACCGTCACGCTCCTCAGCGTGAACGCCGTCCCCTTTTCGGACCGCGAGCGCAGGGAGGAGGTTTGATGATGTCGGCTCGAGGCTCGAAGGCCGACCTGCTCAGGAGGCAAATACCAATTTCTTTCAAAGAGACCAGAATTTTGGGCCTATGGCAGATACCGTTATCACTTTCTTGTCACAAGCGTCTATATATATATATATATATATATATATATATACACATTGCGTGTCGGTGCGTATACAGACAAGTTTGTGTTGGATGCGCCTATAGAGAATGCGGCCATTGCGTTCGGCACGGTGCAAGGTCGCATGAAAGGGTATATCCGTCGACTGTATATTTCTGCTTCAGACCGGGTCCCATATGGTACTTCAACGCTTGCTCCAGCTTTACGTTGGCCAGACTCTGACCGACGGAGCTCGCCGCGCTTGGGAGGGCGAGAGTATTAGCTCTGCGGCAACGGCAAGGAAGTGCACGGTGACACGAAATGTCCCCCCCTGCCTCTTGCCTCCTTCCTCCCTCCCCACTCCCCCTTCCCGGGGGTGGGGGACGAGGGGGGGGGCGAGGGTAGGGATGATCAATGTTCTAGGGTTGGGATGTTCTTGTGCTCGATTTGTTTCTTTTTCGCCTCAGGAGACCACCAGAGTCCCCCAGGGAACTGCAGACACCTCTGGAGACTCCAGCGTGTGATGATGATGATGATGATGATGATGATGATGATGATGATGATGATGATTGTGATTATGATGCTGGTGATGATGGTGATGATGGTCGTGGTGGTGATGGTAACGGTGATGATTATGATGGTGATGATGATGATGGTGATGTTGATGGTGATGCTGATGATGATGAGGATGCTGATGATGATGACGCTGATGATGGTGGTGGTGATGAACATGACGTCGCTTATGATGATGTTGCTGATAATTCTTCTACTGCTGCTGCTGCTGATGATGATGATGATGATGATGATGCCGATGCTGATGATGATGCTGATGATCTGATGGTGATGGTAATGGTGGTGATGCTGCTGATGATGGAGATGATGGTGATGATGAAGATGAGGATGATGATGATGATGATGATGAGGATGATGATGATGGTGGTGGTGGTGGTGATGACGCTGATGATTATGATTAAGAGGATGATGATTACGATGATGTGGATTATGATGGTGATGATAATGATGATGATGGTTGTGGTGGTGATGATGATGATACTAACGAGTAGAGTGAGGATGATGAGTAGGAAGAGGAGTACCATGTTATGGACGCCACTGCTGGATCCGCATGGAACTCCTGGTCAGTTTGCGCTCAAGGTTGTGATATGGAATCGCTGATTGTGTTCCAATTGTGGCAGCACCAGAATGAGCGAAAGCCTTTTGCTGCCCCAGGCCAAGCGATGTCTCTTGCCCATCAACTCAATCATGCGACCCCTGTCGCCTCAAGAACCATCCAGAAGCTAAGCCTGATTCACGAACGCGGGAGATCCATCACACTGGTCACAGTTTCTCTTAGGCCTAGCACCCCCAAGCGACAGCAATTGTACAGCAAGTCAACCACCTTGGGACTCGAAGGTTCTAGGGTCACTAACAAGGAGAACAAGCTCTAAGCACGAAGACAAAACAGGGAAGGATAGAGAGAGAGAGATAGAGAGGGAGGTTACGTGGCCCCGTACTCTGACCCAGAAACTCTTGAGACTTAGAAGGTGCACGTTTTCCGAAGTTTTTGTCCAGGAGGGCAATTGGCCGTCCTGCTCGAGTGCCTGTCTCGAGGCTGATCGTCACCCGTGACCGTTTTTGTTTTTTGTTAGGCAGTTTATGTTCCTTTGTTAACGAAGGACAAGACGGTTGGCCAGAGCAGCGTTGTGTTTGCTGACGTCATCTTTGGCCAACGCGTCCGCAGGCATGCGCACGTGCGGAGTCCAGCGTACATTCCCTCGAGCGTTATCCGGGGCTTCGAACAACACAGCTAAGGCTAGATCATTTCGTCTATATCGAGCGCTTGCATTGCCCTCCTTGAGCATGGTATCATAGATACTTTTGGCGTCGACGACGTGAACCTGCCCCTCCCGCCTCCCCATGTTACAGCCCCTTGTAAGAACCGTCGTGAAGTGTCCCGACCCTCTACACTGGTCAGAACCTCAACAACCTAAAAAAACATGTCTCGATAGAGGACCTGGAGAAACTCCACTTCCGCCACTGCCGCCGACAGAACCTGGGTTTCCCTGGCCAGGGTGGACGACGCCTTCCGCCTAAGCGTTGAGCTTCTCTGTGCGAGGACCGAGGCTTTGAGAGAACGGCTATCTATCACGCTCTTGTCGGCGGCCAAGATCATCCACGCGTCTTGCGTGGCGTCCTCGGGAAGACCCTTCTCATCAACCTGATCCTCGCTGGCTCCGACGCCTCCCGCATCGGAGATGGACACGAAGGACATGCGTTCCGTGTCGAGCAGCTTCCAGATTGTGAGGTCTCGAGAGGCCGACGCACGATTGTATGGCACCATTTTGTTGGCCCACGCGACGTCACTTGTCGTGGAAGCATTCAGCCTACTGGCGAGAATGCTCGCGGTCCTGGCCGCCTCGGGCCTGGTTTCCCAACCGACCTAGTTGAGTTCATACACCAACGATCGCAGAGCCTTGAACTCCTCGCGGTCAAGGTCTGAGCTGTTGGTGCCAAGCCGCCAGTGGCCCATGATGATGGGCCTCACATCTTCGAGTATGTCGGAGGTTGGGGGGTGAGATCGAAGTGGAACGGAGAGCCCCCCTACCGGGAAATCGATTTCGGTTTCTTGTTCGTGCGTGCCGTGCGTGCGGGCGAGGCGAAGCTGCGTGGGCGGGCGAGAGGAAAGTCTCCTGTGGCTGAGGCGCGGCCGGACCAAATGATTCTCCACCGGGGCGCGGGGCCGCGCGGTGTCCCGCCGGTGTCCCGGTGGTGTCCTCTGTGGCTGAGGCGCGGCCGCACCAAATGATTCTCCACCGGGGCGCGGGGCCGCGCGGTGTCCCGCCGGTGTCCCGGTGGTGTCCCGTCGGTGTCCCGTCGGTGTCCCGATGATGATGTTGATGATGATTATGATGATGATGATGGTGATGATGATGATGATGATGATGATGATGATGATGGTGATGATGATGATGATGTTGATGATGGCGATGATGATGATGATGATGATGCTGATGATGATGATGATGATGATGATGATGTTGTTGTTGTTGATGTTGATGATGATGATGATGATGATGATGATGATGATGATGACGCTGATGATGATGTTGCTGATAATTCTTCTACTGCTGCTGATGATGACGATGATGATGATGCTGCTGCTGCTGCTGCTGATGATGATGATGATGATGATGATGATGATGATGATGATGATGATGATGATGATGATGATGATGACGACGTCGATTGTGAGATCGATTGTGATCGGAGGTTGGGGGGTGAGATCGAAGTGGAACGGAGAGCCCCCCTACAGGGAAATCGATTTCGGTTTCGTGTTCGTGCGTGCCGTGCGTGCGGGCGAGGCCCCGTGCACCCACCAGTACAGGTTAGGCTTTGCCAGCCGCTCTCTCCGAGCGCGCCCCGTTCCTTCGGGCGGCCGCGCGGGCTCGCCGCCGCGGCTGGAAGCGAATCGAAAAACTGGGGCGTTTGGGCCCGTGGAGTTCGGCCGTCTACATAAAAAGGGGTACGCCGACAGGACGCCGGCGCGGGCCCCTGGGAGGGGTTCCGGTTCCGTTTTGAGGTTGGCGCCGAGGTTCGGTCGAGGTTTCCTGGCCCTCGGAGGCCCTGCTCGCCGCCGCGGCTGGAAGCGAATCGAAAAACTGGTGCGTCTCGGCCCCTGGAGTTGGGCCGTCGACATAAAAAGGGATACGCCGACAGGATGCCGGCGCGGGCCCCTGGAGTCGTCCTTCGCCGTCGCTGTTGGAGTCGGCGTCGGTACGTCCCTGCAGGTTCCCTTGGGAACTCTTGAATCGTTCCCGGGGCCTTGTTGTATCATCATGCCGTGCTGTATGCTGTGCCGGCGTTGACGCCGTCAGACCGCAGCCATCACGGTTTTGTGTTCGGAGAGTTCCCGCGGACCTTTGGCCGGTCCCGCTGCCATGGCTGCCGCCGCCCGCATGCTCAGACATGCGCTGCTTGTGTCCCAGGGCCAGGCTTTGCCAGCCCCAGGGACACAGGCACCCTACGCGGGCTCGCGCAGACTCGCGCAACGATACGAGTACAAGGGCACTTCCTTTTCGGGCATGGTGGACATCCATCCTGAGCGCCTGCTGACTCGGGAGGAGTTCAAGACGAACTTGCTGGCAGCACCAGGCGTGCTGAAGGTCTCTGTGCTTCCAAAGATGTTTGTGGCCACTCGGCGTTTGGGTTGGCCATTTGGGATTTCGGGGGTCTTCGGGGGCCTCCTGGGGAGGAGCCATCTTGAGCCATCTCCGGTTATCTTGAACCATAGCGGAGGCCATGTGGGGTTCCCCGGGAATGTTTACGAGGGTGACCCTCAGGTCGTGGACAAGAACTCCAAAACCTCGCAGGGCAACAGAGGCGACCACGTCTTCGAGCAGAACCTGGAAGTCCACCTGCACCACGAGCCCCACGTAGCTCTGGAGTTCGAGATCACGCGGAACAACCACATGAAGCACATGGAGGGGCGCCCTTACACTGAGACGGCGATGTTCAAGGACCCCCCCAAACGGCATCACGCGGCGGCGTGGCGCGTGCTCTTGCGCGCCGTCAAGGGCCGGGAGCTCCTTCCACAGCATGCCCGCGACTACTGCAAGAGCTGCCTGACGAGACACGGTACCTGGGAAGACGACGTGCTCCCAAAGGGCCTGGAGGGGAGAGCCAGGCTTTGCCAGTCCTGCGGGGTCTTCCAGCTCCCCGACGCAGGCGCCAGGCCTTCCAACAGCGCCAGGCCTTGCCAGCTCTCCGACGCAGGCGCCGAGTCGCAAGCCAACGTTCCCGTGTCCTTTCCAGAACGCTCCCGCGATGCCCAGGGGCCAGGCGACCGCCTCTGCGGCGCGGGTGGAACCCTGCCCCGCCGAGTCGGCCTCAATGAGTCAGGGTGGCCGCGGGGTCCCGCTTGAGCCAGGCTTTGCCAGTTCTGCGGGGGTGGAAGCTTCAATAAAGCAGGGCGGCGCGACTGGGCCTCCTGCCAAGAAGAGTGCAGCGGCGCCTGGGGGCGCCGCGATCGCCCCTGCGGCGCAGGTGAGCGGAGGGGCGCGTCAGGCCTCCTGCCCAGAGGGCATCAATTACTGCGAGGCTGGGGTCACGGAGCTGAGAGCGTTCGAGCGGGACGGGAACGTAGCATCGTTGGTCAAGGCCCAGGACCTTCTGCTCAAGGGGATCGAGCGCATCTCGGACGTCTTGCCTGAGGGGCGCGATTTGGACGGCACCGAGTACGAGGCGCTAGGTGCGGAGTTCAACCGCTTCGCGGAGATCGCGGAGGATGCGCGCGTGCGCATGCGGGCCGAGTTGGAGGCGGCAACTAGGCCAGCGGGCGGGGGGCAAGCGGTGGCAGGCCAAGCCCAGGGGTCGGGGCCAGGCTTTGCCAGCCCGGCGACCCAGGGGCAGAAGAGCGAGGGCAATGCGGGTGCGGAGAAGACGCCGCCAGGGTTCGACCCCGAAGCCGGTTGGACAGAGGATGCGGCGGACGTGCGCCAGTTCGACATCACGGCTGACCTGCGCGAGGAGCTGGCCGAGAGGCCCGACGGGGGCCAGGCCGCCGCCCGTCAGTCCAGGGAGGTCCGCGCTGCACTCGGCGCCGAAGTTCTTCCCATCCCGGATTTTTTGAAGCTTGTGCAGGGTCAGCCGATGGCCAGCAACGCCGCCCTGGACGATGTTCGTGCAATGAAGAGTCGCGGTGTGGAGCACGTGCGGCACCGAGTCATCGACGAGCCGGACGATCCCGAGGTGCAGGACAACATCGACAGGATGCGCCGCGAGGCCTGGGAAAAGTACGAGGGGCGTCGGAGGACATGTGCCCGTGGCCTGGACACGCGGGACATGTTCTTGGGCCGCGAACTGGTGTGCGTCAAGCTGGTCAGTGCCGGCGCGGTGCCCATGATTCCGAACGAGTTTTTGAATGCGGCGTCTAAGAGGTCTCTCTGCGTCGAGGATCTGTCGCGGCCACCTCCAAACACGCAGG